TCTGGCTCTCCCTGGCTTCTTAGAAGTGCATGCCATAACTGAAAAGGAGCATGTTCAAGGCTGAGAAGTCTGAGAAGCTACATGGGGCACTGAGGCTGTAGGTGGGGGTGGGAGGTGGGAGGAGTGATAATATTTCTGGAAGTTGCTTCTTTTCATGGCACAGTGTTTCCCACTGACCTCACCAGTCCTCAACTCAGAGGCCTCCATGAAATTCTTTTTATCTAGACCCACAAAGAATAGGAGTTTCTTAGGTTTCAAGTCTCCCAACACACCTTGTCAGATAAGCTGATGTGTACATACATACAGGGTGAGACCAAGGTGGCAGATTGGTTAATTATGGCGTTTCTTTAGGTGTGTGGAGACAAACAGGTTTTTTTTCTTTCTCACTCTCTTTTTGAACCATAGGTTGAAATGGTCCATGTCTGTGCCATCTGTGCCTTGCATTTGTAGGATTTTGGTTCTGGGGCAGTGGTTCAGCAAGGCTTTAAAGGGACAGTATCTACTTTGATATTTTTATAACTTGCCCTGAGGATATAGAGGGAGAATGAACAGAGTGGAGAAAAAGGTTTCTTCCTCTTCTCATCAGGCCTACCTAACATGAGGTATTTGTAAAAAGATGCTAAAGCCTGCCACTTTATTAGGATTCTAGGCTGTTCTTGACAGACTGTCACTGATAGACAGCCACAGTTTAGCATGCTTCTTAAAGAACTTAAGAAGATGGTTGACAGATTTTGAAAAATTTATTAAGGTCTAATTTACATACTTTTTCTGTTTACATGATGTATATGTCATGTGAGATTATTTGATTTTAATACTCTGGCCTTTTCTTTTTTACTGAGTTCATTTTCCACATGAAAGTTTAGCCTGATAATAGTGAAAAGTTGAGGCTATGTTCATGCAGGCCTACTATATCAATGTCAAACTCTTTAGCTAGACAATCCAGGTGGGCCACAGTCTGGCCCTACCCTACCATTCTTTGTGTCCCAGCAAGCTGTGGACAACCCAATGAACCCTGTGCTTCTTGCCTCCAGACCTTTGCCTACTCTGTTCTTTTTTAGCTGGAAGTATCTCTCCCCTCTCTACCTTTGGAAATCCTGAACCTTGTTAAGGCCCAATTCAAAAAAGTGAACTTCCTTGTTTCCTTCCCAAAGAAGGCTTTTTAGCCTTTGGTTTGCCCTTTTGTGCCTCTGTCTACAAAAATACTCAGCTCCACAGTCCAGGGGCTGACTCTGCTTTTCTGTCTCCTATATATCCAACACAGTGTATTGCAGAAAGGAGCCCTAGTAAATAAATATTTAAATAAAGGAAGAGTGGTATTTTCTAATTAAATAAATAAAATAAAGATATTGTAACTGGACACAATATCTTTATTTTATTTATTTATTTTTATGTGGTGGTGAGGATCGAATCCAGGGTCTCGCACATGCTAGGCGAGCACTCTACTGCTGAGCTACAATCCCAGCCCCAAGAGTGGTATTTTCTAAACACAGCTGAAAATTAGCTTTTTAAAAAAATACACAGGACTTTGACTTAGACCTCATGAGATTGTCTTGAGATTTGAGAGTCCTGGTTTGAGAGTTGCCCACCATGTATCTCTAAATGGGCTGTGTGTATATTTGGGCTTGGTTTTCATCATTTGTGGGAAAGTTTTGTAGCTCTTAGTACAATAGAATTTCAGCAGTATGAGCGACAGTGGATTTAGAGAAAATCCACATCATGGGTTTGGAAAATAGGTCAAAATCATGACAAAGAAAGAAATAAATTGTTGAAGGAATTGGGAATGTTTAGCCCAGTAAAGAAGACCTAGGAAAGACCCAGAGTCATTGAATGTTAGAGCTGGAAAGAAACTGAGAATATCTAAGGAATTTCCTTTATTAGATAGGAAGTTGAACAAAGTTGCATCTGAGGCTCCATGTTCTGTAGTTCTTTTCCTATTTGCTGTTCTGATTGATAGAAAACTTTTTTTTTTTTTTTTTTTGACAGTGGTGGGGATTGAACTCCGGGCCTCACACTTGCTCAGCAAGCACTTTACCACTGAGCCACATCTCCAGCTCTGAAAACTATTAATTCACCATTTATATTCTCAACTGAAAATGATATTATAGTTCAGAATTTCAAACTCAGACATTATATTTTTAGGTTTTTAACAGAGTCATAGCTTAAAAAAGCATTTTCCATCCTGTTGTTCAATATTCCTTGCTCATTCATCATTCATAAATTCATCAAACAAAACCCAAATGGACTCAGGTAGCACTTTGTGTTGGGAAATTGCAGTCATACAACTTCCTTTTTTGCATTGTTTGTCAGGGAACTTAGAGTCAAACAAGGTCATCTTCTAAAGCAATTGACTCAAACCAGTGCTTGGTGTGTCTGTTTTCCCACTTCTTTTTTTTTAATTGACTTATGTTTTTTGAAAATTATAAAAGGAACACATGCTGCAGATAAAAAACAAACCAGACAGAACAATTCCCAAAGTGTACTGGTAAACTACTGGCATTCTTGTTAGCTTTGATCTGTATTCATCTTGTTTTTACTTATCTTGTGCTCTATGTGTTATATAGCACAGTACCTGAAATTCATATTGTAAATAAAATATTATATTTATTTTATTCAAACCTCAGATGTTTAAAATTACAAATAATTGGATTCCTGGCATCCAGAAAACACATTTGCATCAACTTTACCATATGATCTCCAGATTGCTACTATTGTTGCCAATGGTCAGGCATGGTTCTGTGAGGTGCTAAAATATGTATTTTTTTAAACCTGTAACCAGTCAACTCTGCCTTCTAATCTTCTCCATACTCACCCTAATTGCATCTAATTCATTTTAACATCTTTTCTTTCTGTTCCTTCCCAAAATAATATGTGCTTGGTCCGTATTCTGTTCTTTTCCTTATTTATTTATTTATTTGGATACCAGGGATTGAACTCAGGGTTACGCAACCACTGAGCCACATCCACAGTCCTATTTTTTGTATTTTATTTATAGAGACAGGGTATCCCTGAGTTGCTAAGCACCATTGCTGAGGCTGGCTTTGAATTTGCAATCTTCATGTCTCAGCCTCCTGAGCCACTGGGATTATAAGCGTGCACCACCGCACCCAGCCTTTTCCTTAAATTTTGAAGTCCATAATGACATTTAGTGTTTCTAATCATCACTTAGAATAAGGTTACTCATCATGCTGGTCTTTGTAGTAATACTGGCACATGTGGGACTCTGGCAGCATGAATGTAGTCAGATATGATTCTGTCACACCAAGCCCAGAAAGGACCTCATAGACAGAGTACTCTTTATCTGTTAGTTCTGCCTCTGTTGTTACTACCTTGAGTGAGTACATTGAGGGAAATAAAGGGATTTTTGTAAGAGTTGGGATTTTTCAAATCATCTGACACTGTTTTAAGGATTCTGTTTCAAGAACTTAAAGTGGTATTCTACCTTCCAGTGTTTTACTCCATCCCATCTTTCATTTGGGCTTGCTTCTGGGGAAATAGTGTGTTAGACTTGCTGTTTCCAGCTGTAAGCTACAGACTACCGAATTGCAGGTAGAAGTGGAAGTCTGGAGTTCTGGGCTCTGGTAGACCCCTGGGCTGTGCATGCAAAGGTATGAAAACACTTCTGTTAAAGGAGAGTATGAGGAAGAGGGTCAGAGCCTAGATTGCAAGTAAAGAAACAAAAACTTGTCACTTCCCCCACTGTGGTGACTCTACGTGAAGAGAGGTTCCACCTTTATCCAGGTGACTTTTTTCCTGAGTGGGGAGCTCTGGTGCCAAGTACCAGCTCAGTCTTCCTTGGGCTGGAGTCAGCCTCCAGCCTTAAACAATTGAACTAGGAGCTTTGCCTCTAAATCTCCTTCTTCCCCCATTATCCCAGATTAATGTTCCTAATGCTCTTTTGATGTTACTTTCCTATTCTCAAATTTTCAGGGGCCATTGGTCAGGTCTATTCAGAACCCTCTAAAAATTTTCCCAGATCTTTATTTCCAACAAAGCTGGCTAGATGGTATCACTTTTTTCCTACTTTCTCCCGCCTTCTCCTTTATCTCTTTACTCTGCTTCATTTTATAACATGTCACAAAACAATATAAGAGTGTCTTTTCAGAGGACCTGGGTTCTGTCCCAGGTTAAGTTAGGTACTTATGTTAAATTATTATTATAATTCCCCTTGCCTCTGTTTTCCCAAATGTAAGAGAAGGAGGCTACACTAGGAGACTTCTGGGTCCCTTGCAACCCAGTCAGAGTTAACTTTTTCCTTGGCTACTTAGGAAATAGGGCTCTTTTCTGTCTGCAACATTTACCTTTCATTGTTTGGGATTGTAGTTAACTTTTTTTTTTTTTTTGGTGGTGCTGGGGATTGAACCCAGGGCCTTATGCATGCAAAGCAAGTACTCTATCAACTGAACTATATCCCCAGCCCTGTAGTTTTTTGTCCTATTTTTTGAACATATTTGTAAACTGAGAGACTCAATGGTGAAGCTACTTTCTTAGGATGTGGGTGAGGGAGAGGGATAGTGAGGAGATTCTACTTTGGGCTTCTACCTTGTATCCAAAAACTGAGAGGAGATGGGATTTGTAAAAGGTTTAAGGTTTTTTCTTATGCCCCCTGTCGGGAGAATTTTTTTTTTTTTTTAAAGGAGGTGCATGTTGGGGCTGGGGATGTGGCTCAAGCGGTAACGCGCTTGCCTGGCATGCGCGGGGCGCTGGGTTCAATCCTCAGCACCACATAAAGATAAAGATGTTGTGTCCACCAAATACTAAAAAAAAAAAAATAAATAAATATTAAAAATTCTCTCTCTCTCTCTGTCTCTTTAAAAAACAAAAAAAGGAGGTGTATGTTTACTGCAAGAAGAATGCAGTCTCCCAGATAATCCCTTCCTGTCTGCTGCAAGGCTGCTGCATCTGTGCTATTGGACTGGCATTCTGCTGCTGAGTTTTCAGGGTGCCGGTCCTCAGGAATTGAGGGTTTGGATGATCACTTCATCTTTCACCATGTGTTCCAGGGCCCTGTTTGACTATGATCGGACTCGGGACAGCTGCCTGCCAAGCCAGGGGCTTAGTTTTTCTTATGGTGACATTCTACATGTCATTAATGCCTCTGATGATGAGTGGTGGCAGGCAAGGCTGGTGACCCCACATGGAGAGAGTGAGCAGATTGGCGTAATCCCCAGTAAGAAGAGGTAAGTTGTCATGATCACAAGCTGATGTGTCTGTCTTATTTTCCTGTTATACCATAAATTGCATGAGAGTGGTGGATGTGCCTTGATAAAGCCTTTCTGGTCTTGAACTGGTACTTTGGACATGGTTTTCACTTTGTGAGCCAAGGAGTAGCTGCTCTCATTGAGCAGCCCACCTGCCACTGAGACCATGTGCTGGTAGTAACAGGACTTCTTTTTGACTCCCAAACAGAGTGGAAAAGAAAGAGCGAGCTCGATTGAAAACTGTGAAGTTCCATGCCAGGACAGGGATGATTGAGTCTAATAGGGTAAGTGGGGACCCCCAAGGAAGTCATCCAGGATGTGAAGAAGAGTTCAGTCTGATATATAAGAGAACTGGGGAGCACAAAAGAATGTCTCTTTTTCAGGGGTCTGACTCTGAAATGTCAGAAAATTGACTGCTTTTCAGAAGCAGAGAGGGAGCACTTAAAGTCCATAGCTAGTCTGTGCCCCTGCCCCTGGGTAACTGGCTCTGGAAGATGTGCTGGAGTTGGCTGACTTGTTGGGGAACATGAAGACACTCATGGGTATCTTCCTGGCTACAGACCCTGTCAGAGCTGTGGGGAAGAACCTGTTCTCATCATCCTGCCATAAAGGCCTGCCCCAAGCTCCCACCTCCCTTCAGACCACATGAGGCAGGAGGGCTTCTGCATTCACCCCTTTTCTTCTATAAGCTTCACAGGCCAAAGAACTTCCGGAGCAGTAGAGGGAAGAGAGGCATGGAGTAGATGACTCTGTGTGTATCAGTGACACCTTAGGGCCTGTGTCCAGGAGGCTACAGTGACCTTTGTTCTTTAGGAAGTGCCAGTGAGTGCTATTGAGGCTGGATTAGGTAGAAACTTCTAACATCCCCACAACATTTTCCTGTAAACATAATTTTCCTCTTACATCAACTTTCATTTAATCTCATAGACTCCATTTGTGTAAGATGGTCTTTTATTTAGCTCACCATTGTCTCCATTTTAGTTTTTCTTGCATGCTTTAAAATCCATTGTTCTGTTTTTTTTTTTCCTTCTGTCCTTCCCCTCCATTTTCATGTTCTTTCACAGTCGATCAAAACGAAACGTAAAAAGAGTTTCCGCCTCTCTCGAAAGTTTCCATTTTACAAGAGCAAAGAAAACATGGCCCAGGAGAGCAGCATACAGGAACGTAAGTAGCAGCAGAGTCCAGAGAGCAGACCATCCTCAGCCCGGTCCTCTCGTCCTCAGCTGCCCTTCCCTCACCAGGAGTCTGGGCGAGGGCAAGGGTGTGTGTCCACACAGTGCTTATTTCCAGAGTCAGGGCAGAAATTGTCCTGCAGTGGGTGATGTTGGGGCTTATCTGCCCAGCTCCTCACTTGGAATGAATGTTGGAAGTTCTGAGGGACTGGTCCCAGGGCCATCCTCCAGGATGTCCCTGGCACTGGTGTTGAAAGTGCCAGACGGAGCTCTGCTGTGGTGGCAAGGAGCAGGTTTCAGCCAGTGTTCAGGATTAGAAAAATGTGTGTGTATGTGTTTTTATTTTTTTAAGAGAACAAGGTCTAGGGACTCAGTGTTGTTCTCCTGGCTTCTTCCTCTTATGTTTTCTTTCCCTTAACTTCACTCATCTATATCAAGAGAAGAGCCTGTTCTTCCCCAGATTCCTGGCTCCAGGACTACTTCTGGAATTCCATGTATATGCATAAGCACACGGGAAATCCACATGGCCCTCAGCAGGGTCACTGTCATCCCAGAGTGTCAACAGAGTGTTTCCATCTGAAAATCCTTCCTGCTTAAAATGGGTTGTCATGGAAGCAGTGTTACTCAACATTGTCTAAATAAAGATTTATTGAGAAACACAAAGTTGATTTGGTAGAAAAAGCTGTAACACTGAGGTACCTTAATTTTAAGAACTAATCCTGATAAATCTTCTTACCATACTGTATGCCTCAGAAATTAACTGTTCTGGCCCTGACCTTAAACATAGTATCAGACTTGAAAAAAAATAGCTTCTTGTTTGTCTCACTGTGAATTGTAAACATCTCTCGTTTACCATTGATCTTGTAGTCTGGGGCTATTGGAACTAGCAGGAGGATGACTCGTTCTGATAGGAAATGGCATTTTTTTAGGCCTCTCTGATTCATGGTCCTGGTATGTGGGGGTTGCTGCTGTCTGGGGTATACCTGCTAGATACTAGGTGCCCTCATCCAGATGAAGGTCAAGGCTCATCATTGTGGGGTCGTTTAGTGACAGGGGAAGTTGGTTCTTCCCATGAGCAATAGGAGGCTATTTGAGATACATTTCTGAGGTGATGTCACCACAGTTCACCAGATGAGTCCCAGAACCTCTGTGCAGAGCCCAGCCTTGGGAGGTATCGCTGCTGAGTTGTCCAGCTGGTGGGGGTGCCTGTTGGGCAACAGGGTTGAAACTGCCCAATGCCTATTCTCTAGAAGCTGAACTCATCCAAGCAGTTAGAAGTCACACCTCAGACAGTAGCAGTTTTCCCTGAAGGGTTTAGACAGAGTGAGGCATTATTGGGCAAAAGCTCCCCTAAATGATGGTTATTCTGTCTGCCTGCTGTGGCACATGTGGACATGTGCCCACAGAGGGGAATGATGATTTTAGGGAAAACACAGAGACTTGGGCTCTACAACTTTGATCAAAGCAGGTATTCCATGCTTTAGAGTGTCGCCTGTTGTGTCCTGTGGGGCTATGGGCTATGGACAACCTCAGAAAGCTCCAGAGCCCTCTGGCAAGAAATAGAATAGCATCAAGTCCAGATACTTGACCTGACCTGACCTGGGATGTTCTTTCTGTGGCAGAGTTCTTCACCTTGCTGTAGCTCTAGGTCTTCATGGTATTTCATACTTCTGTCACTAATGCTCACCTGCCTCTGTATTCTTCCTTCCCCTTGTCTTTTTTTCTCTGTGTTTTCCTCTTCTCCCCAATTCTCTCCTTCCCTCCCTCCCACCCCTCCCACCCCTTCCCCCTCTCTTTGTTCTTGCTGTCCGTGAAATTAGGACTTCCCTGGGTTAAGTGACGATTATTATGGAGCAAAGAACCTGAGTAAGTCAAACTTGCACACCATTGACTATTTATGGCATGGTTGAAGGTAGTGGAGGGTGGGGGTGTAGGGGACATGGGTGAGGGTGAAGGGTGAGGGGAGGGCAGTTCTTTCAATAACTCTGTTCCCATGGCAGGAGGAAGGGCATGTGACTCCAAATGTTATTACTTTTGCTCTGGATCCCTGGTACCTAATAATTTCCTAGCATTCATGTCTGTGTTTTCCTTCTGCACCCCTAAGTGGTGGGCCCTCAGCATGATTCCCTAGGCAAGCACTCAGCTCATGTCTAGCTTGTTGTCAAGGGGAGGGTGCCTGTTGGTTGACTTCTCCCAGTGACACCATACTAAGTGAGCTTAGGGAATGTAGCTCTTATAGCTCTTACCTCTAACTAGGGGCAAGGGCACTGAACCCCTGCACCTGGTCTATCTCAGCAGAGGCAGGCCCTCAGTATACAGCACAGGCTTACTTAGAGCCTCTAAGGGGCTGCACCCATCTGGTGGGGACTTCAGCACCACTTGTAGACCACATATATCTAGTGCTTTGTCTTGGGGAAAGTTTGGCCTCTTCATCCTGGAAAATAATCCCAGGGTGGAAAATGAAAGGACCTAGAGGATGGGGCCTTATGGGCTATCCCTCTGTGTGTAGAGGGATGTAGATCCACAGCCTTGCCACTGGGTTCTGTAAGCACGTACTCTCCTTCAATAAGTAATAAAGGCTAAGGGTAAAGGAGCTGACACCAAGGGTCGGTCAGGGGCTAGCCTTGGGTGGCAGCTCAGCCAGTCCTTCCTGGGGGAGCCACAGCATATCATGGTTTGGAACAGTGTGGCCTTGACTGAAACGAGCAGCATCTCTCCATAGTGTGGTGTGTCTATGTCTCATCTTCATCTGCCTGTCATCCTGGGAGGGGTGTGTTTTGTTTGGGCCTTCTGTGAAAGCTGCTCTCTGCTTGAGTTCTTTCCACCCACACTCACAGATGGGAAGGTCCCAACTATCTGAGACAGGGTGGCTGTCTTGTCCTGGAAATGTCCTTGTTGCTTTGTCGTCTTTGTGTTTTGACACATCTGTCTTAGGGTGGATCAAGGTGTATCCCTCTCATGCTGAAGCCAAGCTCACCTTCTTAGGAGTGGTGGCAAAAGGGCTGTGGGTCCCACTGGAGGTCAGAGCAGTGTTCCCTGGTGACTGCTCAGCCTCTCCAGTGTTTAGCCCAAGAAGTTGTGGAGTACCACATGGTCCTGTACTTCAGGGGCTCTGTCTTGGGGGAAATTCATGAGTAGCATGGTCCCTGGACTTTTCTCTGCATCTGTCCCTATCTTTTCTTTCCTGCCATTAGCCTTGGGGGATGCAGTTTGTGATAGGATTTGGAAACCATCCAAGTTGGTTTGTTTGGTTCAGATGAAGAGAATGCTGTGGAAGGAAGTGAGTCTTCTAGTGCCTAGGGAGAGACTTGGCAGACTGAGAGGGCTCTGGGGACAAGTAGGAGGTGTCCAGGGTGTCAGGATTGGAGCTGTGCCTCCCAGTTGGTGGCCTGGATGTGGCAGGCCTCCTGTGGCCTGACTCAGTTGGAAGCTCAGTGTCTCATTCCTGAGCATTTGAGTTTTGTGCTGCATGTGATCTCTCAGTGGTGTGTTCTGAATTGGAGTCTCTTTCTTGTTGGCTTGCAGAGGGAGTGACATCCAACACCAGTGACAGCGAAAGCAGTTCCAGTAAGTGTGTGTCATTCCCCCCCATGTCATGTAGCTCCACCATGTGTCCCTGCCATCCTCATTCCAGTGTTGCACAGCTGCCATTCCTGCTCAGAGGCTGCTGCTCCTTTTAGCCATGTACACTTTGAGACCCTGGAAATGCTGTGGCCATTCGTTCTCCTTGTGGGACAAAGTTTGCCCTATGAATTAAAGGAGAGTATAAGCCCTGTAGTTCTGGCCAGAACCAGATTTGAAAGCATCCCTGGGGCCCTGGAAAGGGTGAACTGTCAAGGAGCAAATCTCTGCCATGGGCACTGAGGGACTTAGATGCTGCCAGGTTTCCAGATTTGCTCAGAGACCAAAAGCAAAATGTGTCCTATGAAAAACTGTCCTGAATCTGCCTTTCTAGGTTGCAAGGACCTCCTTGCCTTTTGGCTGGGTCACATAATCAGGAAGGAAATTACCCAGTTTTCCTTGGGAGAGTCCGTGACTAGACCATAGAAGCCACAATTTGAACCTCATGGCCTTTGGGAACATTAGCCTTTAGGAGCTGAGATGGCTAGATGCCTTAAAAATTCTATCCAGGAGTATTAGGCTCTGAAGAAGCCTTTTAGGAAGTATCCTGTGGCTCAACATAGCTATCACTGCCTTCCCTGTTAACTGTTGTCAGATACTTGGGGACCTCCAGGTATCTAGTGCCAAGTAGCTTGGCAACTATTTCAGGAAACCCTCGTCATTGCCAGGCTACATGGATGCTTCATCCAGAGGTTGGGTAGAGGGGTGGGTAGGTAGACCCATAAAAGGGCAGAGTTCAGCTGCAGCTTTGGGGATCTGCATGAATACCAATTCTGCCTACAGGTGAAAGGTCTCAGGCAAATGTGTCTCGACCACTTGAAGTGTCCCTGTGATTCTTTCTAGAACACGAGGGCCACTGAACACACTCAACTTACCTATAAGAAAAGTTTAGGGGAAAATGGGGTGGTTTTGGGTGGAAGCTTCATTGCTTCTGGGTCTTAGCCCTCTGCTCAGAAGTATTTCACTGAATAAGAGAACTGCGGACACTGCTCTGGGCCAGCAAGGCTTCCCACACCTTCTCACCCACTGAAAGCAGAGAGGATCATGGGGCAGGTGGTATGGAGAAGGACCACTGGAGAAGATAGTTTTGTGGCTGGGTTGAAGGTGCAGTGAATGTCATATACAGGGAAGCAGATCATGAAGTGCTAACCTGTCTCCCTTTTTTGTTGCAGAAGGACAAGAAGATGCTATTTTGTCATATGAGCCAGTGACAAGGCAAGAAAGTAAGTCCCTTTCCAAGACTCTTGCCTTTATGCTAGTCTCCTGCTCATGGTGTGGGCTACCATAGCAGCAGAAGGGAGGGGGTTGAGGGAGAAGGAAGGTTCAACTCATTGCCTATCCAGCCCCTGGGTCATGGCAAAGGTAGAGACCATCCATTGTGCTCCTCTTGCTCTTCTTTTGCCCATTGCTGGGATGCCTTCCAAGGAGAGGGAAGATTTATGAGAAAGGCAAGGGGATGTCTATTTTAGTGAGTGCAGCCTCTGTTAAAAGAGAGGGCTCAGATCCTCCCTTCAGTGTCTGCTTGACCAAAACCTTGCACAGTACTGGTGTCAATGTAGATATCTCTCCTGAGTCCCTTGGAAGGGGAGATGTTCCTGGTTTCAGACTTGCCTAGGACTTAGATATTCTCAAACTAGCCAGGTGTGGTGATGCACACTTGTAAAATCCCAGTAGTTTGGGAGGCTGAGGCAGGAGGATCTCGAGTTCAAAGCCAGCCTTGGCAAAAGTGAGGCCCTAAGCAACTCAGTGAGACCCTGTCTCTAAATAAAATACAAAATAGGGCTGGGGATGTGGCTCAGTGGTTGAGTGCCCCTGAGTTCAATCCCTGGTACCACACCCCCTGCCAAAAAAAAAAAAAAGATATTCTCAAACTAATGGCTTGTTGATGTCTTTTTAGTTTTTACTCTGGTAGTCAGACTTAGCAGTGGACTGGATTCCTTGTGGGCCTTCTGTTCACTGTCTCAATGTTCTTCCTTCCTAGTTCACTACGCAAGGCCTGTGATCATCTTGGGTCCAATGAAAGACCGAGTCAATGATGACCTGATCTCTGAGTTTCCACATAAATTTGGATCCTGTGTGCCACGTAAGAGCCCAGGCAGGCCCAAAAGAAGCGGAGGCTGGGGGCCTGGAAATTGCTGCTCTGGGATCAGATTCTAGGGTTCTTGGGAACAGGATTCATTTGATAGTCAGGAAGAGCATAGGCAGAAATATATTCTCCAAGAATTGATGGAGTTGGGAGGACTAAGACACTCTTGGCTTGGCTGCTCTCTGCCCTGGAGAGAAGTTTGGCAATGGTCAGGAATGATTAGATGAATGAGGTAGCCCAGCCAAAAAAAAAAAAAAATGTAATTTTTTTTTGTTCTGTGACTCAATGAACCATTTATTAGGTTTACTGATTCCCATGCCAAGCTCCATACCCTCTGCTCCACCTTTTTGGTCTAGTTTATGCTAAAACAAATAGTCTCCACTGTGTGAGAACTGGAAGTCAGAAGAAAAATAGACAAGACAGACTTCTTGACCTTTTTCTTCTCACTCAATTGGAACAATATTGGGGTGGCCTTGTGACTCTCCCAGATGAGAGAACCAAGTGAGCTTTAGTGGCCCAGCACAGATCATTGCCCTTTGGTAGCATAGCATTTCCTTTCTTTTTTCAGATACCACCCGGCCTCGGCGTGATAATGAGGTGGATGGACAGGACTACCACTTTGTGGTGTCCCGAGAACAAATGGAAAAGGATATTCAGGACAACAAATTCATTGAGGCGGGCCAGTTCAACGATAATCTGTATGGGACCAGCATCCAGTCAGTGCGGGCAGTTGCAGAGAGGGTAAGCAGAGGGATGTCCTGATTAACTGGGACCCTCAAAGTGAAGACAGAAATATTCCGGCCCGAGTTTCAACACAGAGATTGCCAGTGGTAATCTCAAAGCCACACAGTTCTGCATATTTTCATCCTTTTGATAAAGGTGCCTATTTCCCTTACAAAATTCATACTGAGACATCACCCACCATGGAATAGGGACCTTTAGGCAGAAGTAGCCTTTTCTGGATAGTAGAAGCAAAAAGCTGGGCCTGGGTACCTCAAGAATAGGAACTTCTGGGCCACTCTGGGTGGCTCTGGGTCCCCCTTTAGCGGATGTTTGGAATGCCACTGGATTTGTATTTGGAATTGGGTGGACCAGGGGTAGGTTAGCTGATACAGGTCTTCTTTTTCAGGGCAAACACTGCATCTTAGATGTTTCCGGCAATGCTATCAAGAGACTGCAGCAAGCACAACTTTACCCCATTGCCATTTTCATCAAGCCCAAGTCCATTGAAGCACTTATGTAAGTGTCCACTGAGGCTCAAACATAGCCAGATAGGACGGTGCCCTGGAAAGGAAATGGAGAACAAAATAACTTGTTGGCCAGGGATGGAACCCTGTAGAAGCTTGAAGGAAACTGTACCCTAGCTGAGACCATGTGCCTCTCAGTCTGTTTGGCGTGCCTGTCATATGCCCTTGATTGGGATTTTAACCCTGAAAGATTTGAGGAAAGAGTTGGCCGTGGGCCACCATGAGAGAATAGTTGAGCAGGTATTCAGGAAAACTGGAACAATCCTGTGTTTTAATGAAAACATAAGATCTCCTTTGGAACTAGTTTTCCTTCTGTTTCTTTGGTAGGGAAATGAATCGACGGCAGACATATGAACAAGCAAATAAGATCTATGACAAAGCCATGAAACTGGAGCAGGAGTTTGGAGAATACTTTACAGGTAAGAATCCCTGAAGTCCAGCCAGGGGTACTATGGGACCAACCAGACACCTGATCCTGAAAATGTCTCAGGGAGGTTTAGCCAGAGCTTAGGAAGCCTGTCAGAGTTTCAGGATGCTTTGGAGCTATTGAGCTCAAACCTTCCTAAGCAATCAAGTTCCCTCCATCTGGCCATAGCAGGTTAGCCATTTTGTATCATAAATACTCATTAGCTGCTGCTTTGGATCATTGGTATGTTCATTCTGTCTTCCTGTCCCTACTAGATTGCAGGCCCCCTCTATTATAACTTTGTTTCCCTCCATCTCTTCCTCGTATTTGCCTTGCATGTTTCAGGTGCTGAATAAACGTTTGGTGATGATTTCTTGGAGTGTTGTTCAAATTGTCAATGTGTGCATATGTGTATGAGTGTGTCTGTGTGGTCACTTATTTTAGAAGGTCATTTCCCAAAAGGTTGGGAAGGCAACCATCCCTCACCTTTTAAAGTACAGTGACATATGTATGCGTGTGCAGGGTGGTGCTGAGGAAATTGAGGCTGGTGGTGCTGCCAGGTTTTCTGGGTAAATAATTCAGAAATGTACTCACCTGCCTTGGGTCTTTGGAGCTCCCTTTACCGTCAGCATCCGTGTCCTTGTTTGTTGGGCTGACCTCTGACACAGAGCAGATGTGACAGCCCCAGGAGCACTGCCTTTTGCCAGAAATTGTGGTTTTTTTGCTCTTCCTCTGGATAACTGGAATTTTCCAAATCTTTGAGGGAAGCTGCTTTAGAATTACAAGCTGCTGGCTTTATGGTGGCCAAGAGCAACATGAGCTGCAGTGTCTGGCATGTAGTGGGTGCTCAGTAAACATCTTGTGAATAAACACATTTTCCTGTTCATTGCTACTTACTCTGCCTGTCTCAGAGAGTTGACTTGTAGCCCTGTGCACAGGCAACTAGCCAGTTCCCCTCCTGCCCTGAACTCGCTGACAATTGACTAGTGAAGCCAGCCTGGGCTCCTGTGAGTAGCCATCATGCTGGGGGGCATTGTAGGATTGTTGGGAGAGGCAGGATGACCGGGGTTTGGGCAGTGTGCTGTGGACCACAGTAATAATTTTGTTTTCCTCTTCACTTTAGCCATTGTACAGGGTGACTCACTGGAAGAGATTTATAACAAAATCAAACAAATCATTGAGGACCAGTCTGGGCACTACATTTGGGTCCCATCCCCTGAAAAACTCTGAAGAATCCCCTCCAACCATTCTCTTGTGAACAGAAGAAATCAAGTCCCTCTTCCCTCCTCCCTCTTCATTCCTGTCCCCATGGGGAGAACAAATGACTACTGTTCTTGTCCCATTTTTTAGATATGTCAAAAAAAATTGAGTTTTCTAGTCCTGTTCTTTTTTTTTTTAATTTTTGTTTTGTTTTCATTTATTTTTTGGGATGATGCCATCTCACTCATCATGTGACTGTGCCCATTCCTGCATGGACCTTTCCCAAGCACTATCACAGGTGCAAATCCGTCAGAGCCATTGTTTTCATAAAAACCAAGCAGAAGAGAAGAGAGGAGGACTGATGGAAAGACAGACTCTGGACAGCTGCATGGCTTGTGAAGTGAGCTAAATGCAGCATATGATGAGGTGCTCCTGGGCACTTCTCCCCATCTGTACTGCTGTCTTGCAGCTCTGAACAGTGCAACGTAATGGCAACAGGAAGTATCTTATTTATATATAGATATATATATGTAATTTATATAAAATATATAGAAATTATTATATATATATATTATACACTCTCCTATAATATATATATATATATATTCACACACATTGGGACTAGAAAATCTATGGAGACTTCGTCAATGGTACTATGTTATTAGAGAAACGCTTTAATTTTCATATTCCAATCAGATGGCATCTTATATCCCACCTGGTTGAGAAGGGTTTGAGAATGGTAGAAAGTTCTGTACGGAGGGCATGCACACTTGGTCATTCTCTTGAGAGCTAAGGCTTACTCTTGGCAGGGTCAGCCTGAGGCCTGAGAGAAAGGGCTTTGGCCTGGGAGCGTGAAGTTTGGAGACTTGACCTGAGAGCAGCTGCTGCCCTGAGGTTCAGTCAGTCCTGTGTGCGGAGAGAGAGAGAGAGAGAATGGCTAATGATGCTCCATATAAAATTGCCTATTGTTTTATGCCACCTGATGTGTCTGCATGAGAGGTTTCCTTTTTGTTCATTTTTAAGCTGCTGTTAAACCAAAATCATGTTGTGCTACTGTGTCAGCCTTTTCATTATTCCAAATTTTACTTTTACTATTTAAGTGAATGCGTAGAATCCAATTTGCCAATGTTCTAAAGGCTTCCAAGCTTCTGAAGGAGCCAGGTCGTGGCCGTCCAGTCAGCAGAGGGAAAGCGGGGCCCAATGGGCTGGGGAGGAGCTGGGCCCCCGCACTGCCACACTGGCCCTTCACTTGCCTGCCAAGGACATGCTGGACTCTAGGGTTCCTTCATGGGGCCACCGACAGGGACAGGGAGGTGCTTGCCTTCCAGTTCTCTGCTGGGATAGAACAGCATTTGGCTTGGCCAGCCATGTAGTGAGTTTGATTTGGGTATTTTTTGCAGCTGCTCCATATGCCCTACCCCAGCCCCCTCACCAACAGCTGGTAGCTTACTGTTTCTTCAAGAAGAAAGTAGAATTTAATGCTATAAATTTGAGCTGTAGAGCTAAGATTCACTTACTGGTGAGCCGTGAGACCTTGTTGCTTTCTCCCAGAGTCTGATGGCAGTGACTGCGGTCCAGGGAGTTCTCTGCCCACCACCAATGCGGGCAGCAAGGGTAGCCCAGCCTTCCCCCCCTCCCCACTGTGCTCCTTTGAAGCCAACGTGCCTCCCTCACCTCCATGCTGGAGGGAAGACGTAGGGGAGAATATAGAAATGCTTGGCCCTAAAGTTGAGCCCACTGGATTAGGACCAGTGCAAATGACACAAGTGTTGAAGATGCTTTAAGCACTACCAGCCAAATTCAGGAAATCTGTTCACAGTTATCCTACCAGCATACTGAGGCTAACTGTAAAGTGTGGGGCCCAGAATGAGGGTAATGAAAGGGCAGCAGCTTTCCCTTGGGCAGTACACTGGATTGAAGGCAAAGAGGGATGAAGTTATGGCCATCGTGCCTCTGATGTGGGGGGTGAGCAGGGAGTGTTGATTCTGTGATGGTAACTGACATGTCTGAATGATGCTGGACCCTCCCTCCCTCCCTCCTGGGGAAGAAAAGCAAAGATTCAAAGTAAGCATGACACTAGTTGGTTTACCAGTGTTCCTTCCAAGGAGACATATATTTTTTAATAAACGATAGTTGCAATGAACTGTGGCTCAGAGACCTTCTTGAAGTAATTGAGCAGGGCTGATGGGGGCACAGTGATGGAAAGAGCTGCCCAAGCATTTGCGTGGAGGTTGAAGGGCTTGTCTCCTCAGTGGATCAGCCAGCAAGCCAGGCCATCCTTGGGATGGGTGCAACCTCTGGGGTGGCGACAGGTCATTTGTGAAACCTGTGTGCTCAGGCTTCTGCCCTGACCCAGATGCTGCCTTATACAGCACTGACCTGATGGGGTTCCACATCCTTGGTAGCCAAATGCTGACTTTTTTTCTAAAGGGTACACAATGTGGGGGAGGCCTGCAGCAGCAAAGAGGTCTGTTAGAAAAAGCAGGGGCCAGCTTAGCAGCGGGGAGCTGAATGAGGAAAATGGTAAGAGAAAACTGCCTGCCGGCTTTCAGCATTGTGAGAATGAGGGAGGGATGGGGCCCCATTTGCGGTCTTCCCTGTGGTCCTCAGAAGAAGTGTTCATAGCAGGTATCTCTGACATGGTTGATGCCACTGCAGCTCTGTGGAGGAGCCTAAGAAAGTGCTGCCATAATTAAGGTCAAGAACGACAGCCGAATGAATGAGCAACACCAACGTGGGTGGACTGAGCCACAGTAAGGATGATTATCCTCACTTGTTTATGGTGCTTTATTATTTGCAGGGCACTTGGCTTTCCCACATTCTCTCATTTGCTAGAAGGCAGCCCAACAAAAGGGAGTCCCCAGAGAGCTCCATGGGGATTTGAGGAAATTTTAACTCCTGAGTGCAAAGGGAATATAGGTTTTGGCCTATAGTTGTGCTGTGCTGAGACTGTCTTCACAGCCAGTGTCCCTCCTGGAGGAAGTACAGCTGAAGAAAATTATGCCCCAGCATGAGAGATAACTGGGGAAACAATAAAAGGAGTCAGGCCATTGGACCCACAGGCAGCTCCCTGGCTCCATTGAGGAGCAAATTTGGGTCTTCTCCCAGTCCTGCTGCTGATGTCTTGATTTCTTCATCTCTAAGAGGAAGAGCCACAAATGTTCATGGGATGATCTATGAGTGAAATATCTGTTCAAACACAAATAACCAACTTTATCTGCAGTTGAAAGTACTTCTAGACATTAGCTAAGGAAAGCAAAATCTTTCCTCAAAGCAAGTGTGGAAGTCAAGGGCTCAAGGACAAAGCTAATGTGGTTTGCAGAATAAAAGTGGGATTGAGCTGCACAACTGGGAAGAGCTGAGCAAAAAAAAAGGTGGAAACAGAAGGGGCCCTGGGCATGAGCCGGAAGGTGGGTTCTAAAGACAACCAGAGCCTTTTCTGCAGGGACGGTACCTTCTTGGTGCCAACCACTGAAAGCCAAGGTATGAGAGAACCTCATACAATGAGATGAGCAGTGGCCCAGATGCCTAATGGACTCATGGTGCCATTGGTGTTACCCACTCTGTCTCACTGTTCCCATCTAGGATTTCATGGCCTCAATTCCACTAATCTTTTCATTTAGTCAGGCTGCCTGGCACTCTAGGACATTTTATTATTGCAAATAATGTTTTGAAGCTCAAATTCCAATTTCCTTAAAAGCCCCCATCACTTCCAAGAGATAGTATAACTGGCTCCATATACCTCACTTCCTCCCCAGTGAACAGGGTGTTAATACCTGAGCTTTGCCAGAAAATAGAACTTCTTTGACAGTGAAGCCTCAACAGATCTCTGCAGAGCCATCCCCATTGTGCACAGCGTGATGCACATGGGTGGCCTTTTCCACTAATTAGACTGAACTACCAACACAGCCCATCCTTCCTCTACCCTGGTAGGCTAACCACAAGTATCCAACACTTCTAGAACTAGCAAATAGGTGACCCGAGAGCAGACTTCCCACCTGTGCTCTCCCAGTGAACAGCACTAGCAAGAGAATGTGCTGACTGGCCTTACTGTTTGCTACAAGCAGGCAGCCAAAGGAACCAGCTCCCAAGCTCCTTAGCATGGCCCTTCTGCAATCGGGCCTTGGTTTTTCTCCTGCTGTTGTCTCCCTCTGCTCCAGCTGTTTTGAGTTCCCATAATACACTGCAACCTCAGATCTTGGCTCATGCTTCTTTTGCTTATAAATGCCCTTGCTGTCACCCATCTTGCTCACCCAGAAGGCTCCTCTTTTTGTTGTTTCTGTTTGTGTATTGGGGTACTGGGTACTGAACTTAGCAGTGCTCTACCACAGAACTGAATTGCAGTCTTTTTTTTTTTTTTATTTTGAGATGGGGTCTTACAGTGGGGCACACCTGTAATCCTAGTGACTGGAGGCTAGGTCAGGAGGATTGCAAATTTGAGGCTGGCCTGGCAACTTAGATCCTGTCTCAAAATAAAAATTGTGTGTGTGTGTGTAAATAAAGCTAGGGATGTAGCTCAGTGGTAAAGCTCCCCTGGATTCAATCACCAATATAAAAACAAAAACAAAAAAATAAGCCCCTCTACCTATGCCACCTTTCCTGAACCAACTCCTTCCCTGGAGGTGTAATTGACCCTCCCTTCCTGTGTGCTTTGTCCTCTAACAGCTAACATCTGTTTCCTGCTTGCAGTGTGTCAGGTGCTATACTAAGTGCTTTAAGCAATACTATTCCATCTATTGCCAAAAATGGTCCTATGGTGTAGGTGCTTTTTATTATCCCTATTTCCTAGATGGGAAAACTGAAGCACAATGTGGTCACATGACTAAAAAGTGACAGAACTATGAACCAAACAGACAATCTAACTATAGCAGCTATGCTCTTAAGTACCATGATGGCCTGTCACTTTGTAATACTCAGAACATGGTGCTGCCTTTATCTTTATTTCTGTCTCCTAGTCTCTCTGAGATCAGAGACTGTTTTGCTCATCTGCAAATCCCCAGCAGTCAGTGCAGAGTCCACAGAGCGTAGAAGAGCTACAATATTCTTTGGCTCAACCTTAGAGGGAAGTGATTTGAGTAGATCCAAGCCTGTGGTGATTGAATTTGTTTGCTTTCTGGACTTCTGCAACTTCCTCTGGCATACTGCTCCATCCTATGTCCCCTCTCTTTTTCATCTTCTAAGGCTTCCCCCTCCTTTACACACTTTTGTCTTCTCACCCAGAGCCAAATTGTCTACCTACCCTGCATCCCTTTACTGACCATCATTCCATCCATTCAAGTGCCTGTAAGCTCTCAAAGGCCAGCCCTCATTGCCTAAGCTTGACATTCAGAGACCCTAGAAAAATGAAAATGCCATGTCTCTTCTCTCCTGATGACTTCATGTATGTCTAAGCTACCCCTTCCCTACCATAAGCTCCACAAAGTGGCACCATTGTCCAACATTCCACACTCAAGCTCTGATCTGTTTTCTTTAGGTCATCACATCCAGTCTCTTACCAAAACATCTTGATTATTTACAGTGTCTTCAACATGGTCCTTTGTAGTCATTATCACTCATTATCACAGCCCCTACCCTTGAACATCAAGAGATGCTGCTTGTAAAGCACTTACTGATGGGCATTGTGCTTGGAGCTGACAAGATAATGACAGAATAAATGCAGTCCCATTCTCAAGGACCCTATAATCTATAGAGATGGAGCAAAAAGGAAGTAAATGACTACAGAATTACATGTGACTGTGAAGGCCACGAAGAAAATGCACAGGGTACAGTGACAGAGGTGGTGGTGGGGAATGTGCTTGGAAAAGACCCAGGGAAGTCTTTGAGGAGGTGACATGCAGGTGGAAGCCTGCAGGATCAGCAGAACCAGACTGGGGAGAGGACATGGATGTGAGAAGGGAACATCCTTTACTGCACTGGCCTAGTCTGCTTTTGCAATGTTATCTCCTGATATTTCTCTACAAACTCCTTGTAGAGAACTCTCTATACACTCCTTGCCTTTTTTCTTGGAGTATGTCCTGTGTCTGTGATTCTAGTCCCTATCTCTCCTTTAT